GTAGAAATTCGTACGTGTAGATCATTTTTGCTGTAGGAAACTAGAATTCTGGTCTGGAGTAGATGCATAATTTTATGACTGAGAGGTTTCAAAACCGCTCTCCTTTAAAAATGCTAAATATAAACAAGACAAATAAGTCAACACTGCAGGCCAAACAGCAAGCCCGGAGTTGAATTTGGGAGCGGAAGCAGGTCAGGAGGAGGAGGAACCTGAGGGTACATGAATGCCAAGCTTTGTAAACCCAAGTCCAAAAGTTAATAGGAGTTTGCCCAGTTCCCCTTTCTCCCCCACACAGTTTACCAAGGCACCTTGCCAGTTCAGATATGCTGCATAGACACACACTTACATCAGCTGTCCGTGTGTGTGTGTGTGTGTGTGTGTGTGTGTGTGTGTGTGTACACAGGAGGATTTAGACTTGAATTTTTTAAGTATGTGTGAGTTTGGAGCTCATACAGCTTCTTGCACCCATAATTCTTGCCATTTCTCTCTCACTCCTTGTCGCACACAGACTTGCATGCATTCAGAAATGTTCTCACACAGACATTCAGAACTCATAAGACTGCCTGTATGTCACTAAATACCCAGAGGAAAAAAGTTGTGGTATATGTATTGCGTTAGTTCTTTGGCATTTCGGCTTCCAACACTAAGAACTCTATGTGTAGATCACTGACGTACAGCCGTTCCTTCACGCTCTCAGCCAGCCACACATATAAATATAAGCACCTTCATTTTCCACTCTGCTCTCTCATGCCATTCTGCTCTGCTTTTCAAACAAGACCCGCTTCAAGGCTGCAGGTTTATTTTAGTTAGCTCTTGATGTTTTTTCCCTTTGGATATATTTGTTCTGTGGACCTGACCTTAATTTAGCACCTTGTCACGTGCCAGCAGTGGTCACGATGCCTAGAAAGTGCACTGTGTGAATTGAATCTCATTTTTGAGCGCTGGTTTTGGTTGGGATTTCGCTGGGTGTAGCACACAGTGGCACTCCCCTGGAGGATCATCAGCTTGTGAGCTCTCTTGCTCCATTATTGTTATTTTTTACACGGAAATTACTCTTTTCCACTCTTCCTGTTTATAACCCTCACCTCCTTTTCATGTTGTATGAACTCGATATGTATACAAGTTTGTGTGGCAGCTTTGTAATTTCTGTGGAAATACGATGTGTAAAGTCAAATCATGTTTAACATCCCCGTGTGTGTCACACAGAGAGGTATTTCTTCTTTCCTTTTCCCATCAGCACTTCCAGCGGCAAGGTGTATGTGGCCCAGGTGAAGGAAAGGGCTGCTGCCAGGAAAATTTACGACGCAGCTAAGAAGCAAGGAAAAACAGCAGGACTTGTCGCTACCAAGTCAGTCTTAAAAAAAATTGGAACTTTTTACCACCTTTGATAACTGCAGAATATTATGTTTTGTTTTGGGGGAGGGGAGTTTTTTCATGTTTGCAGTATCATACTACATTTACAGAAATACAACTTTGCAAATGTTACATTTGTGGTTTTGCAGAGAGAGGGAAATTGAGAAGTTTCGTGTTGCAGTGAGTGTGCCATCAGGGGCTAGGGTGTCCTTCTTCCTGACGTACGAGGAGCTGTTACAGCGTCGGCTCGGCCGCTATGAGCTCACTCTGGGTCTGAGGCCCGGTCAGCTTGTCCAGAACCTCACATTAGATGTCTGCATAAGAGAGAGGACAGGCATCAGTTTTCTTAAGGTCCTTCCTCTTAGGACAAGCCGAGCGGTCGCCAACACCCCACCTCAAGGTAAAATCTGAACGATTAGCCATCACAATATTTACATGTGCATTATTTGACTTAACATAATGTCTTGTTTTTGCTGGCTGTAATTTCATACCACACAGGGATGGTATATTCTTAAATGGTTGGTGAGAAAAATGCAAATAAGTCTACTTACTTTGATGGAAATTTTGTAGATTATCTTCTATTGGTTTTGAGTCCAACCTCATGGCATGTTTCC